ATCATGACAAACGAAAAAACATGTAACTAATAGTAGTTTATGGTACAGTCTAATTAAAGATGTGTCACTAAAATTCAATAATAGTCATGACAATTGAACAAAACGTGTGACTAAAAGTAGTTTATTGTTATGGTTTAATATATTACGTGTCACTAAAAGTCAATAATAACCATGACACATAAAAAAACATGTTATTAATACTAGTTTATGATCATGTTTTAATATATTACATGTCACTAAAAGTCAGCAATAGTCATGAAACAAAACAACTTGTGAGGGAAAATACTTTACAAGGACGGTTATCAAAAAATGATTGAAAAAAACTACAACAATTGGTACCTTATATTGACTATTTTTACCTATAGTAACAGTTTTTAGGGTTATAGTCATCACAATTAAACGTTACCATAACGTACCTTTAATGATATGACATTTCCTAACTCATTCAATGAAAAAACGTGTCACAAAATATCTATAATGACAGGTTTTTGTGTGGCCAAATGTGGTTTTGTACTAGTATGAAATTGCTACTTGATTACTAGTGCCTAACTTAGAAAACAGGAAAATGCTATGAAATAACTACATACTATCTAGACTTATTAAGCAAAGGAAATACTAGGCATACAAAAGAAATAGAGTAAATTACAGAAATGGCCCTTGTAGTTTGGTCGAATTCTCAAATTTCTTCCCTAAGTTTAAATTTTGATAGGTTACATCCCTATGGTTTGTGTAAATTGCACTATAGGTCTTTGGTCCATATAAAAAGATCAAGTTACCCTTTCTTTCTTTCTTTCTTTTTCTTTTAACAATTTATTATAATATATATATATATAGATATATATATATATATATATATATATATATATAAAAGGTCTTTGGTCCATATAAAAAGATCAAGTTACCCTTTCTTTCTTTCTTTCTTTTTCTTTTAACAATTTATTATAATATATATATATATATATTATATATATATATATATATATATATATATATATATATATATATATATAAAAGGTCTTTGGTCCATATAAAAAAGATCAAGTTATCATTTCTTTCTTTCTTTCTTTTTCTTTTAACAATTTATTATTATTATTATTATTATTATTATATATATATATATATATATATATATATATATATATTATATATATTATTGATTTTTTATCTTTATTTTAATAGAATTAAAATAGATTATTTATAAAATTATTTTTATTTCTTAAATCAATTATCTAAATTATCTAAAATCATATTATTATTATTATTATTATATTATTATTATTATTTTGCTTTATTTATATATCTTTATTTTTGTGGATTAAAAATCTTTTAATATTTTTGACGTTTTATTTAACTATATTTTTTAGTTGTTTTTTTTTTTACATTTTTTTCGTTTAAATTATTATATAATGATTTTTTTGACCTTTTTTTTGAATAAACAAATTAAAACAACTCGAACATTAACAAAAATTATTGTTCGTTTAGTTAAACGAACGGACATGAACAATGATCTTGTTCGTTCATTTATATTCGTGAACGTTCATTTATGATGTCCGTTTACGTTCATTTATGTTCAGTTTTTATTTATATTCATTTATGTTCAATTTTTTTATTATATTATCATATTATATGTTTGTTTATGTTCATATACGTTCAATTGTTTGTTTATGTTCATATACATTCAATTGTGTTTGTTTATCTTTGTTCGTTTAGTATGTTCACGAACATAAACGAACGAACATAAACATGATAATTTGTTAAACGAACGAACACGAAAAAGAAAATTTCGTTCGTTTATCCGTTCGTGTTCGTTTATTTGTTCGGCTAACTTAAACGAACGAACACAGAGATAAACAAACACCGTCTGTTCCTTTGTTCGTTCAAGTTCGTTTATTTGTTAAATGAACATGAACAAAATCATTCGTTTATATATTTGTTAAACGAACGAACACGAACATAAACAATATAAGCTCACCTTCATTGAAGTCGTTGCCGCTGCTAAGATATAATATAATTATTTAGGCAATAAATGAAGAAGCACTGACATATAAAGAATGATTTTGTTCATGTTCGTTTAACAAATAAACGAACACGGACGGATAAATGAACGACATTTTCCTTTTCGTGTTCGTTCCTTTAATAAATTAACTTGTTCATGTTCGTTCGTTTATGTTCGTGAACAAACTAAATGAACATAAACGAACGAACAGAAACAAACAAATATAAACAAACACAATTGAACGTATATGAACATAAACTAACATATAATATGGTAATATAATAAAAAAAATGAACATAAATGAATATAAAGAAATTAAATGAATGAACATAAATGAACGTAAACGGACATCATAAACGAACGTTCACGAACATAAATGAACGAACGAGACCATTGTTCATGTTCGTTCGTTTAACTAAACGAATGATAATTTTTGTTAATGTTCGGGTTATTTTTTCAATTTGTTTATTCAAAAAAAAGTTCAAAAACTCATTATATAATTTAAACGAACAAAACGTCAAAAATACCACATTAAAAAATATATTTAAATAAAACGTCAAAAATATTAGAAGATTTTTAAACCACAAAAACAAAAATAAATAAAAAAAGCAAAAAATAAATAATAATAATAATAATATAAATAATATGATTTTATATAATTTAGATAATTGATTTAAAACATAAAAATAATTTTATAAATAATCTATATTAATTCTATTAAAATAAAGATAAAAATAATATATATATATATATATATATATATATATATATATATATATATATATAATAAATTGTTAAAAGAAAACAAAAAAAGGGTAATTTGGTCTTTTTATATGGACCAATGACCTACAATCTAATTTTTTATAAACCATAGGGATGTAACCTATCAAATTTTAACTTAATGACCAAAACTGAGAATTCAACCAAACCACAATGATCATTTCTGTATATTACTCAAAGATATAAATAAAAGATAAAGGCATGGTCGTGAGCGTAGACAGCTGGTGGACAAAGTTGACTTTTGTTCTTTTTTTAGAGCATCCACAATGGGGGTTTAGTAGGAATTGAATGTATGATGATTAGGATCGAATAGAAGTTGAATAGAATGTGGGTGGTGACATGGAGGAGGGTTGAATGGAAGAGTTGTATGATTATTGAGTGGTTGAATGAAATTAATCTTTTTCTTTTTAAATTAAATTTCAAAAAATATATATATGTAATCATATTTTCATATTATTTTATACTTGATTTTTTTTTAATTAAACCACAAATTAAATTAACCATATTTTTGGATATTATATTATTTAGGTTTAGTGTTTTTTAATTAATACACTTTTAGGTATTAAATGTTATGTTTCATAATTTTTTAGTTAATGTATTTTTAAGTATTGTATTTTTATAACTATTATATCTTTTATTTTTGAATTTAGAATTATATTTAAAAATATAATAATGATGATGTGAAAATCCATTAAACTTTGTTGTGTTTAATGGAGTGTGGATGTTAACGAGTAAAGTTGAATAAAAAGTGAAATGTTGAGGTGGCAGTGATGTGGAAATCCATTGAACTCTTAAGAGTTTAATGGACTGTGGATGCCCAATATACACTATAACTCGGGAATCTTATTAAAATCTTTTTGTTCTTGATGTGGTTGATGTTTTAAATAATTGTTCGATAAATTCGATTCAATTTATTTCATTCTCCTTTTTGTGGTTGCTTTTTCATTGGAGGACGTGAATGTTTTTTTAACAACAAAAATGACATAAAAACTAGCTAGACATTAGAAATTTACAAAGTACAAAATATGGTAGGATCAATACACCGATCAAGACAACATAACCATAAAAAACTATTTTTATATTTAGGGCGTGTTCGGCAAAATTAGATGGTCGCGGGTAGCGGATAGCTTGTAGCTTGTAGCGTTTTGTTAAACGCTATATGAAGTAGCATTTGGATTTGGAGCGTTTTGTTTAAACTAAACGCTAGAAGCTCGTAGTGCTGAACGAGACTTTCTGTTCAAAACGGAGCGTTTTGTCAAACACTAGAAGTTAGAAGCTTCCAAACGCTCCATGACAAACACGCCCTTAATCCAATGGAATGACAAAAGTTAAATATCATCGGCCAAAGGTTGCATCTCTACTTTTTGAAGATGATATTATTCCTAGCTTTCTTCAACCAAAGCATCATGTAATGTTTTGTTTTTATTTATTTATTTTTTTATGGCATACATGACATAAATAAATAAATAAATAAAAACAAAACATAACAATTTTCATCTCCTTTTATCACAGTAGAAGCCGTGAATGTTTGTTCATTTAAAATTTCCACAAACCATCAAATCAATTCGAGGATATTTTCATTAAGGCACACTTTTCTTTTCATTTTGTTATCTTAGTTTCCAAACTCAAGCTGGATTATGCCTTCCGCAGCTTAGTTAGTTGTGTATGCGTTAATTAGCCTAGTTTCTTTGTATTCTCTTATAAATTTACCCGTATAATCTAGGGTTACTTTTGTAATTATGTGTAATTAGGAGTCTTCACCGAGCAGGTTAAATACTAACAGAGGGCGGCTTTACATCTTTGGCCATCTCGAGTTCTGACTTCCTAATCAGTTGATTCTCATACACGAGTCCTAAGAATATTTATCGAAAGAAAACGACAAACACACCAATCTTATATGTTCTTGCAAACATAGTTAATTAAAAATAGTCGTGGGGTCTTTTCTAAACATGGTTGTGACTTTTGGTAATTTTCAATGATGTGTCAAGTTTGTTCAGAAGAGTCTTTCCGTTTCAAAGCTACGTAAAAGGTCATTCTCACAAACATGGTCAATGAGGTTTGCTTTATTTCTCCACAAAACATGCTTACTCTAAGGGAGGGAGAACTTTACTCTCAATCATATGATTTGGCTTCTCTTACACTTTATATATCACATACGCAACTTTTAACTCAAAATTCAATTGTACTCGATTCTCCATGCTCCTTGCCCCATTCCATGTTAACCATGGCTCTCTCGCCTGTGCTCTCGTGCTTCCTCCTTTGGTCGTTGGTTTCCACAGCTACCGCATTTGACATCACAAAGATCCTTAATCAATACACAGACTACACGGTCTTCAATCAGGAGCTGTCTAGGACTGGAGTGGCGGAAGAGATCAACATGCGCACATCAGTAACGGTCTTGGTCATCTCCAATGGCGCAATGTCTGCTGTCACCAGCCAAAAAGAAGGCTCCATTGCAGATATCATGAGGATTCATGTCGTCCTTGATTACTATGATTCTGCCAAGATCAAGACGCTCAAGAATGAAACCACATTAACCACGTTGTACCAAACAACTGGATCGGCTGATAAAGAACAAGGGTTTATTACAGTAAACAAGGAAAATAATGAGATCAAACTGGGTTCAGCTGTTTCTGGATCTCAAATGTCCGCTAGGGTAAACAAGGTTGTGACTTCTGTCCCTTACGATATTTCAGTTATAGAGATTTCTTCACCGATCATCCCCAATGGAATAGACGCTTCGGACCCACCCTCCCAATCATCACCGTCACCCAGCCCCGATCAGTCTTATTCAACACCGCTTCATCCTCCATCCAGCAGCCCCTCAGACAGCCCTGCAGATTCATCTTCAGATCACAGTTCCTCAGCCAACACAACTGCACCAGCATCGGCTCCTTCAAACGAAAGCAAACAAAAGCCTATATATGGACAAGCACCTGCAGTTCCTTCTCCTTCTGACGCAGATGTTGATGCAGATGACGATGATGCAGATGCGCCATCTGACAAAGCTTCTAGCTCTTCACGAAAGGCTATCGTTTCTGGTATCATGCTCTTGGCTTCGTTCGTTGCCAGTTTGTAATGTTTGGAGTGAACGAAAGGACGTATAGTATAATCGAGGAATAAAAGGAAGCGGTGGAGCATCCTTGCATGTGTTTATCGAAATCTCATGCATGGATTAGGAGGGGTACGTCAAACGGATAAACAACAAATATTTTTCCACTCAGGCTTGGTTTTCAAGAGTCTTCTAGAATAATACTTGAGTTGCCTCAAAAGGCACGACTTGAAAAGTCTTTCATTCTTGCCGATGCATGTAATCTGAAATCTTCCAAGGATTTTTTTAATAAAACACTATTCTACTTGCATCGAGTTATATGGTATCATGCATACTCTACTGTTGATCTCAATAAAAAAAATCCTGTAAATACCATGCCAATAAAGTCAAACCACAAAAAGGAAAACATGAACGCAGGCACTTGTCTACCGTTATAAAACTGATAAAACGAAAATGAAAAAAGCTGGCAGGCTGAGCTACCCAATAAAGAGAGCATCAGCCATCAAAGCAAACTGGAGTGAGGTGACCTTTTGAAGGGTTTCAAAGAGTAGGACTAACACAAACTCTTAATTACAAAATAGTTATCTTCCTAATACACTCACGGTACCAGATTCTTCCAATGGAGTAGGCAAGTTAATTCACAAGAGTCACTTTGTATTCTTAAGCACAAAAACAGGGGTAACGTTCTAGATTGTGGTGTATTTCTATCATGTATACACACAATAGCTATAAATTGGATAAGAACGACAAAATGACAGTTTTTAGGAAGTTAAAGAAAGTTACGAGAGATCTACCTGATGCAACCTTGTTTCCTAAGAAAACAGAACAGGAAGGAAGGAAGAAAGAAATCTGCACAGTAAAGAAGAGAAACTGGGCGATAACAGGGTAATAAGAAAAAAACAGGAGCTGTTAAATACTTGGTGGAAAAGAAACTTTTATTGCTGAATAAATAACGAATATTGCTGAATAAAAAACAGGGTAATAAGAAACTTTTATCGCATAAAACAATACCCTTATTTATACTAAAACAGATGGTATCCTAAACTAAAACAAATAACGCTTAAAATGAAAGTTTTCATAAAAATTCCCAAAATGCCCCTGAGGGTTAATTCCTGAATTACGCCAACATTTTCCCTCCTAATTTAGGAACCGAGATGTTCTTCACTCCTAATAGACTTCTCATCTCTTCAAACTTCACTTTAGCCATAGATTTTTTATATCAGCCCATTGTTAGTTCCCACATGTTGGACAATGATATCTCCTTTCTCAACCAGTTCACGTATGAAGTGGTAGTATCTCATGTCGATATGCTTCTTTCTTCCATGGAACACCAGGTTCTTCATCAGTTCCAAAGCTGATTTGTTGTCAACATACAACACTATTGGGCCGATCCTTCTTCCGGTTAACCTTCCAAGCAATCTTCTTATCCAAACTCCTTGACATGTGGCACTTGTAGCTGCCATAAATTCCGCTTCACACAATGAAAGTGCCATGCTTTGTTGCTTTTGTGAGTTCCATTTAACAAGGTTCTCATTAAGATAAATTATCATACCTGATGTACTTCTCATGTCAATCACATCTTTAGCTAAATCGCTATTTGTATAGCCTATGACACCGTATTCTTCATTGCTTCTTACGTACTCCAGACCACACATGGATGTCCATTTTATGTATCTTAGAATATGCTTCACGGCTTGTAGGTGTTGTGTAGTTGGTCTTTCCATGAAACGACTAATCATTCCAACTGAAAAAGTGATGTCTGGTCGTGTATGTGTCAAATATCTCAATCCACCAACTATACTCCTATGGAAAGCGGGATCAATAGGTTCTCCTTGTTCATCTTTGCTTAGCTCCAGTCTTGGCTCCATTGGGTACTAACACGGATTACAATCAATCATACGTGATTTTTCGAGTATGGATTTTCCATAGGGTGTTTATTATAAGGTGATTCCCTCCTTATGTCAACTTACCTCAATCCCAAGGTAATACGATAACAGCCCAAGGTTACTCATGTCAAACTCGCTGGTCATTTGTTGTTTGAACAACTTTACATCATCAACACGATTTCCAGTGACAATTAAGTCATCCACATAAATTCCAATTATAAGTAGATATCCGTTTTTCTTTCTTGTGTACACAGCATACTCTTGCGGACATCTAACAAAACCCAAGTCTTTGAGACACTTGTCTAGCCGTGAATTCCAAGCTCTAGGAGCTTGTCGAAATATGTATAACGCCTTTGATAATTTGTACACCAATTTTGGCCTGTCTTTCTTTATAAAACCCTCTGGTTGAGTTACATAAACATCTTCTTCTATTTCTCCATTAAGAAAGGCTACTTTTACATCAAGGTGATGTACAATCCAACCATTCTTAGCTGCCAAATCAAGTAAAATATGCACAGTTTCCATTCTAGCCACCCATGCAAAAACTTCATCGAAATCAACTTGTAACACCCTGTTTATTTAATAAATAAATAAACAAATTAATGAATGAATAGTAGCCCAAAAATTAATAATTATATAGCAAGGTGCTGGTCTCGAGGAGTTAACTGTCATAATTTTAGAAGGCAGGGATTAAAGTGTAAAATCCGGACTTAATTTGTAAGTATTATTGAAGGCAGGGACTAAATAGGAATTTATGAGACTTCATTTGAAGAGATTTTGGAGGATAGGGGGGCTGTTTGGTAAATTTTGTACTTAAGTTGTAATGGATTTTAATACTGAGGGTTTAAATGGTAAATTTTGGTCTAAGATTGAAAAGAAAAAGGGAAGGGAGGGACTGTTGTTGTCATTATGGCAAACTTTTAGAATGGTGTCAGGTATTTAAAGGTTCCGCAAACCCTAACCCTAATCAACCATTTGCAGCCGCATCTCTCCACCCTTATGCCCCCTCACCGGCGCCGCCACCACCCCGTTTCCGATCAGCCAGCGAACACAACAACCACTAGACGTCCGTCCTTCTTCTCACTCTCCTTCTTCAGTCGCCGTCATGTGAGGCTTCATCCACTCGCCACTTCGCAAACCGGAGCTGCCGCCACTGTGGAGCCTTAAGACCACCGAGGAGCCTCCAGTGTCGCTGTAGCGCTACCGATAACACCACTTTCGCCGATATGTAGTGCTACTACCACTCCACTGCCCACGACGTTGGAGCTCATCGGCTGCTGCCTTGCCTTTGAAGCGCCTTTGGTTTCAGTTGTGGGTTGCCATTCCATCACCCTTCTCTCCGATTGTCATGCGCAACCGCAAGGGTGGCGGTGGTTAAATGCATTTCCAGCGGGCACTCATGTGTGTTAACATGTTCTGGGGTAGAAGACCAAGAGAAAACGTCGCCACCACCGTGAGGTGGTGGCTGTCATCGCCGCCTTCCAGTTTCTGCCACCATCTACCGCCGCCGGCCACCACAAGGTGGTTGTGTGTGTGTGTTTATTTTTAGTGTGTGGTTATATTGGGATTAAAGCTTTGTAAAGTGTATTAGAAAGTGGAATAATGAGAAAGAAACCCTAACCACCACCGTGAGGTGGTGACCGCCGCCGTGAGCCGCCATTGACCACCACTACCCGAGGTGGTAATGGGTGGTGCCCGACTAGCGAAACCCAAATGGGCCTAGTGAAACCCTAATGGGCCTATTGAAACCCTAATTGACCTAAAGATTTGGTTTTGGGCCTATTGGGCCATGATTGGGTTGGAAACCCTAATTAGGGTTTAGAAAACCCTAATTTTGGATATATGGGCCTTGGACTTATCGGGACCCACATTTGGGCCGTTGGAATGGAATTGTGTAGTTAGCCCAATCACACCATATGATTTATTTAAAAGAGTGATGAACTTAATGGATTAAGTCCTTAATGGGTTAAGTGAGAAACACTTAACCCTAATTGTTATTTTATGTGAAACCCTAATTTCACTTGGGCGTTATGTTGGGCCTTTCTATTGGGCTTTGGTGATTGGGCCAATATTAGGCCATCCAAGAACAATCAAATGGACTTGAATAATTTAATGGGCTTTAGGGTAAGGCCCATGTAAGGGGTTTGGGCCTAATTTGGAAAATTGGGCCATAGATGGGCCATAGTTTGGGCCTTAATGATTATATGATATTGGGCCATTAGAATGTCAAATGTCTGGACTGAAATAAATGGTTGGGCCTTAGAATGAGACCATGTGAAGGTTTGGGCCCAATTTGGAAAATTGGGCCAAATGTTGGGCTTTGACTTATAGTTGACTTTTGGGCCTTTGGACTGGGTCTTGGGCTTGGATCAAGCTAAGATTGGGGTAAAGCAGTCTTTTACCCCAAGCATCGACTTATGGTTATGTGTTGGAACCCAATTAATAATTGGGTGTTATTTTGATGTTGACAGTTCGGGAACCTGTCATCCAGCAGCTAGGGTTGGGTCCGCGGGACTTCAGCAGTGTGAGGTGAGTTACCTTCTAGTAGAAGTGGGTCTACGGCCACAATGCCGACCCACTAGTAGGGATTGTTTGTCGAGTAGTTGTCTTTGTGATAATTACTTGGGTTTGTCACTATCTGATGTGTTTTATGAGCTAGCATGATATGATGTTATGTGATAGTGGTAGTAGGGGTGAAATAGTCCCCGGTTACCGGTAGATAGGGCCGAACGGGGTAGTTTAGTACCAAGCTATGCTAGACAGATTATGATATATGTGATATGAGATTATGTGGTAGTAGTAGGGGTGAAATAGTCCCCGGTTAGGTAATTGACATTACTGGGAATCTTTCAGCAGCTGGGGACTGGGTGAGTTTGGGAACCTAGGAAAGCCTAGGATATGTTTCAGTGGGTTAGTAGTGAGGATCAGTGAGACTTGGGTGCATCAGTTTGAGGAAGTGACATGGAGGATTCGGGGGGATTGCTGAGGAAAGTATGGATAGGTGTGAAAGGTAGTATTGGGCCCGTACTACTAAAAGCCCAGGATCCATACTCGAGAGAGTCTTGGAGAATATGAGAAGCTTCGGGGAGGAGTTAGTGACCCGGTTTGGGGACAGAGGATGTTCCAGTTGTTGCAGCTTAG